CCTGACAGAGCAGCTCTCACGAAAGATGGCGCAGAGGACTGGGCGGGGTGGTGGACCACGGGGCGGGGGGGGGGGGCAGGGCCGGGAACAGATGAGGCCACCAGGAATACCCCTCCCCCAGCACCAGGCAGAGGCAGTCCCGTGAATCCCCCTCACCAAGGAGTCCTTTGCTCCCTTCCTTCCGGAAAAGGGCAGACTGATTCGTTGGGCTGACCCAGGGCAGCTGAAGGAGAACAGGCAGGGGAGCCAGGTCCGGGGTGGGTGCCCTTGGCCTTCTCTGCCCCTCCCCTGCACCTCGGAATTGCAGCTGCCCCTTCCCTGCCGTGCACAGGGCACCATTCAAGTGGAATGAAGCATCTAGAGGGGGATTCAGGGTAGGGAGGCTCAGAGCCAAACCTGAAGGTGCCCCGTGGGGCTGTGTGCAGAATGGAGCCTGGCTACTTGAGCCCCTCCCAGTGCTGGGCACCCCGATGCTAAGCGTTTGGAAGCTGAGAGGCTCCCTGTTAAGAGAACGTCGGAGTCCTCAGAGGTGGGGCCGAGGAGTTCCTGTCTGTGGGCTCCTGGCCCTCCCCTGCAGGACTGCTCCAGAAGAAGTGCTGGGGAGAGACTTCTTTCCCCTTCCTCTGGTTGTCAGCCACCCAGGCACCCCCCCCCCCCAGAACCATCTACCCCTCCGCCCCACCAGCGGTCATCACTCTGTCACCCTTCCTTCACTCTACCACCTACTCCCAGCCTCGGAATGCTCTGCGGGGGGCGGTGGCGGGGCTAGAAAGCTGGTGACTGAGGAGCTGGCCCCCTGTGCCCACCTCGGCTCTGGGGGGGCAGCCAAGCTGGCCCCAGGTCACACACCCACAGAAGACCGTGCATGAGGGGCTCTGAGCCTGGGGAACTGTCCGCTCTGGAAGGCTCCTGTGGAGCCATGGTGTCCCTGGCTGATGGCCCAGCTCTCCTTCGTAGCTAAAACCCAGCTGGGCCCCGCTGGGTCTTTGGGGCCCCTTCCCTCGAAGGGGGTGGGGGGGGAAGAAAGGGCGGAATCCCAGGCACTCCCTCTGATCGCCGGGGGAGGTGTGGGGTCCTCCCAGGTCTTGGAGTTCAAAGAAAATTCAGCTCTGGACTTAGGGAGGCTGGGAGAAGGCAGCGAGGCCCCGGCCACTCGGAGCTCTTCAGTCTTGGGGTGGGGGCAGGGGGTGGGGGTCAGGGGCTGAGGGCTGCACAGTTCCCACCCAGGAGGAATCTTCAGTCCCCAGGGTGGGGGAAGCCAGCCCCTAGGTCCCAGGAATACTGGGGGACATCTGGGTGGCGGTAAGGACCCCGCGCTGGGCAGGTGTGTGTCTAAATAAGCTGAGGCCGAGGCCGGGAAGACGGTGCCCCACCGCCTGGCGCCCGACCAGGTGAGGGGGACCCCTTTCTGCAGCCCCACCCCCACACTAGGTACCTCCTCCTCCAGCCTGTGAGTTGAGCATCGGCAGGTGCAGGTGAATGGAGGTGCCACCTGAGGCGGGGCTGGATTGTGAGATGGGGATCCCCTCCCCCCGCCCCGAGTGCCCCTAGGGTCACCCAGGACCCAGGCTTCATCTGGGAGGGAGGCCTCGGACCTCGCGCCAGCGCTGGAGGCTTGAGCTCTGCTCACCTTCTCCCTACGTGTGCATGCTTACGCGGAGGTTTCTTTAGCATCTTGGGGTGAGGGTGGTGGGGCCCTAAGAAAGGGTTGGGGGCCAGATCCAGCCCAGCCTCTTTGAGTGCCAGGGTCCTCTCCACAGAGGGCGGCGGGGAGGGGTCTCACAGCACCCAGAAGAGAAAGCAGGAGGCCTTGGTGGCCGTGGCATCTCAGAAGGGGCGGCGGCATGGAGGACTCGGCCATCAGCCACCACAGCAAGGCCTCCGGGGGGCGAGGGGCACCTCCACTCCGCCCTCCATCCCCGTGGAGCCCAGTCGCCGGTGCCTCAGCCTCCCCCGGTCCCAGGAGACCTGAAGTGTCCTTTCAGAGTCGGCTGGGTGGCCCCCCTCAAGCTTCAGCGCTCCCCAAGTGACAGCTAAGAACAAGGGGGCCTTGAAGCACCTTCCTTGGTGCAGCCGGGACCCGCCGTCCACACGGGGCGGCCGCGGCCACGGAGGCGGCGGGACCCGCGTTGCACCCCGGCGGTCCCACCCGGCGTCCGAGGGGAGGGGCGCGGAGCCACCCGGGAAGCGGAAGTTCGGGGAGACTGAGTGCCAGGTCGGCGGTGCCCCAGGCAGCGCGGGGGGCGCGGCCCGCTCCCCCGCCCGGGAAGAAGCGGAGTTTTGGGCGGGGCGGAGATCCCAGCGGGGCCTGGGGAGGGAGGCCTGCGCGCCCCGGGGCTGAGCAGCGAGGGGGGAGCCGCACAGGGTCAGGGGTGCCGCCCCGGGGTGGGGGGCGACACCTGGGGGCCGGCCCGCGGGCTCAGAGAGAGCAGGACCGGCCGGGCGAGAAGGCGCATCTGCCTCCCGGCCGCGGTCCGCCCGGGGGGCGGGGGGGGGGGTGTCGAGGAGGCCCCCTCCGCGCGGCGCAGCTCGGGTGCCGTCGGGAGCTGGGGCGCCCCTCCCGCGCGGCGCGGGGTCCGGGCGGGGCGGCAGGGGCGGCGCCAGGCGGCGGTGACGCGCGGGGGACGTGCGGCGCGAGCGGCCGGAGCGGAGTCCCCCCGGCCGGGCAGCCGGAGGCGCGCGGCGGCCGAGCGGCGGCAGGTAGGCGCGGCGCGGATGCTGGCGGGGCGCGCCTGGTCCCCGGACCCTCCGCCGGGCCGGCGCCCCCGCCCCCTCCCCTCCGGGGGCCCCCGGGGAGCCAGCCGCGCCCCCGCCGCGCCCTCGGAGCGGCCCCCTGCGTGTCCCTGCGGCGGGCTGCCCTCGGGGGCTGGGCTCCGGCCCGAGGCGGGTGCGCGGGGCGGCCGAGCGGGGTCGCGGGTGCGAAGACTCGGGCCGCGGCGGCGGGCGGCACCTGGTGTGGCTGCCGCCGGCCAGGGGCCCCTCCCGAGGGCGCGGGGAGCACGTGCGCTCCGGGCTCGGCGCCGGGCCGGGGTGGTGCCGTGGCCCCGCGGGCTCCTGCCTCACCTCCTCCCGCCTCTCGCCGCGCCCAAACACTCGCCTGCTCGCACCCGACCTCGGGCGACGGCTCCCAGCCCAGGCCCAGGGCAGAAAGGTAGGGGGCCCCGCTCTGAGAGTCAGGCTGGACTCCCTGGTTCGCCCCACTGCCTCCCAGACCCCTACCCCCTGGGAGAACCAGCGGGGGCCTCAGTTTGTTTGTCTGAAAAGTGGGTTGACTACACGCCTGGATGCTGGACCAGGCCAGTGGACGGCGGGGCTGTGAGTAGAAGGGGAGCAGCAGGTCATGGCCACTGGGGGTGCCCGGCCTCTAGGTGAGGGACAAAGAGGCAACCCAGTGGCTGGGGCGCTTTTCCATGCCAGAGGCCCTGAGCTGCGCGTCCAGAAGCGCACGCTTGGGTGTGAGAGGGAGACAGACACGGGAGCGAGTCGTCGAGGGTGGACTGGGCCTCTGTGGCTGGCGGTGTGTCCCATGGTAGGAGGTCTGCGCCCAGAAGAGGCTCAGGTGCGGTGGAACCTTCCTGCCCAGAGGCCTGTGGTATGGACAGGGCCTGAGGTGGGCAACGGGAGGCCTGCCCCCGGGACAGACTTCGTAACGGCGTGCTGTGACCTTGGGCAGGGCCTGACACCCAGGAGGAACCTGGCTCTGACTCGGCTGCGACCTGTTTGGAGGGGCAGCAACAAAAGCGAGTCTGTGCCCTTCAGGGCGGTGGCCAGGGAGCTGGTGCTGCCGTCTGTGCGGGGCCCCTTTGCTCAGGGTGGGTCCGGCAGGGCGCCCCAGGGCCCAGGCCCGGGAGACTGCCTCCCAGAGCAGTCGGCCCATCGCAGGCACCTCTGGGTCAGGCCTGGGGCGCACCGAGCCAGGACCAACGTGGGCCCGGAGTGGAGGGGCCTGGGGACCCTCCCGGGCGCGCAGGCAAGGACGGGCCTCCGGGCCTCAGTCCCCGTCTGTGAAATGGGTGGGGCGGGGCGGCCTTCAGGAGACGGGAGTTCACAGCCGGAACTGCGCACACACGGCCGGGCCCCAGCCGAGGCCAAACGAAGTCGGCCCCGCCCCGGGGAGCCGCGGGATCTCCTTCCGCACCGCGTTCTGGGGCCCCCTGCCCCGGCGGCCCGGCGCTGGTCTATACGGTAGCGGACTAGCAGACGGGGAGGGCGCCTACTCCAGGCAATACGGCGGCGGCTCCTCCCTTGGCGCGGTCACGTCCCCCACGTCCGTCGGCCGGCCGAGCCGGCGGGGTGGCGAGGCGGGGCTCGCTCCCTTCCCGCACCCCTCCCTGTCTCCACCCTGCTGGTGACCGCCTAGCCCCACCAAGGTCGGCCGACCCCCACCTGCCACCAGGCCCAGTCGGGTGGCGGGGGGGAGGGGCCCCTCCCGGTTGCCGAGGTTACTGGTGCCGAGAGCCCTTCTTGGCCTTGGCCTTAGGGCCCTGGCTTGGGGGGAGGGGTTGCAGGGAGTTGAGCAGTGGGACAAGATGGCCATGTGATGGGCAGTCCCACCACTCCCAGGCCAGGCAGGGTCCAGGCCTCGAGAGGGTTGCTTTCAACCTGCTCCAGCCGCCACTCTGGGCCTTCTGGATGAGGGGGCTCTGACAGGGTGAGCCCCAAACCGCACACAGGGCCACCTGCCCACAGCCCCCTCCTGGTCACACGAGGCACGGCGCTGGAGAGCGACTGGCCCTAGGGCAGTGTGTTTTCACTCCAGTGGCCTCTGCAAGATGTGAACCCACCTGAGAGCTCTGGGGGCACCCGACATGCCTTGGGGGGGGGGCTGTGGTCAGCGGATGTGGGGTGCAGGGCACAGGCTGGCTGAGCTTGCCTGGGGCAGACCTTCACCCCGTGCTCATGGCCCACATCCCCAGAAAAAGCCCCAGGCACTTCCCTCCAGTCAACAGCTCTGCACGCAGGTGGGGGCAGGGTGGGGGCGGGCATCTGGGGTCCCGTATCGGCCCTGGGAGGGGGACAAGCACCCAAACCAGTGTTGCCTTCTGGGCGCATCTAGATACGCTGTTACCTGTTTACACAACAGGGACCCCGGGGAAAGGAAGAGAAGGGAACCTGGGAGGCTCTCCCTCCTCCTGGAGGCATCACCCTCTTCTGTCAACCACCCCCCTGCTCCAGGGACCCTGGGGCTCCACTGAAGCCAGGGGCAAGCCGCACGGGGCGGTCTCTTTGGTGCCCAGGCGTGGGTCCCAGGCCTCCTGGTGCAAGAGCGCAGGAGGGAATGCGATGGCTCCTCTCCTGCCCCGCCCGCCTGGAGCTGGTCTCTGGGGCCCGGAAGTCTGGGTAGTTAACTGGCCAATCTCCCCAGAAGGTGAACCTACGGGCTCTAGAGTCGAAGCCGCCACAGTGAACCTAGGGGACATGGCGTGCCCTGGAAGCTGACGGGCCAGAGACCCAGGATCCGAGGTGGGTGCGAGGCCCACCAGCAGAGGCCCGGGGGGAAGGTGGCCGGGCGCCCTGGGGACAGCCGTGGGTCTGCGGCTGCAACGGGTCAGCAGGAGGCGTTCTGCAAGTGGGTGAAGCCGAGCTGTGGGGGTGGTCGAGGCCAGGCTGTTTGTGGGAGCTCGGCCCTAGTCCTCCCGGTGGGGGTGCCCAGGTGAGTGGAGCACACACCTGGCAGGCTGCCAGGCTGGTCAGGGGCCGGGGTCTGGAGTCCTGACCCCTGAACACAGCCAGCCAGTGGACCCCTGAGGGAGAAGCTGGCAGAAGGCCTGGATTTGGGAGCTCAGATGTGTGGTCTGCTGAACGGACTGAGTACCCCCACGCACACTTTTCTCTGGGCCTTCCTCAGCTCACTCCCAGCTGCCTGGGGCAGTGGGACCTTTTCGGGAACTGGAGGGGCAGCTCCTGGAGCCTCACCTGACCCAAGAGCGGGCACACACGCCCCACGGGGGAGATCAGCTTTCTGAGGTCCAGAGGGCGGGTTATTTATGGGCTGGGGACGTGGTTCACATGCTTCCCCGGGAGGGTAAATGTCATCACAAGGCCAGCTGGCTGGTGTGTGCCCATAGATGTGCCGGCACTGCCTCTCTGGCACGTTGCAGTGAGGGTCCCCCACCAGTCCCCAAGGAGGCCACTCCTCCAGACCCTCCCCGGAGGCAAGCTGGGTTGACAAGGCCATTTTGCTCTTGGAAATCCCAGCCCCTTCTCTACCTGGGGGCCTTACAGTTGCAAAGCCCTCCTGAGCGAAACCCGAGGTTTCGCTCCAAACCGAGGCCCCAATTCCCTTCCCTGCTTGCCCACCCCCACCCCCACCAGCATAACTGAGGCCTTGCTGAGAAACCTCACTTTGAGGCCTGGCTGCTGTGGGCAATGGGTAGAGGGTCGTTCTAGTGTGGCTGGCACGCTAGGCTGGGGGGTAGCCGGGAGGAAAGTGTCTGAAGTCGCTGGGGCCTCTAGGGACGGGTGGGAGAGACGGCCACACTCCCCACGTGAACCTCCCGTGGCAGCCACCTGGCCCACACAGGTCTTGAAGCACGCTGTACCCTCCCGGCCGCTAGGCCTTGGCACCCCTGCCCCATCACCCTCCTAGATGCTAGTTCAGGGGATGCCCCGTGTCTCCTGAGGACCACGGGAACCTCCAGGGAGGCCCAGCCCTGGTGGGGGGCAGCTAAGCAGAGAACAGGGCATCGGAGGCCGCGGCCTGCGTTCCTCTGCCGAGTGCCACGTGAGGCTGGTTCAGCCGAAGTCTCAGAGGGAGGCCCCAGGTTCTGTGACTCTGGGTTTACAGACTTGAGCTGCTCCTAATTTTTGGTGCCAGACACACTTCCCTCTTTGGCCTTTGAGTGGCCCACTTGGTTTAGTTTTAAACATCAATGAACGTCCATAAGCTCACAACCCCAAACAAGCCCGGATGCTGGGGATGGCCAGCCCCCTGGGCCCGCGACCGCCACCAAGCTCCTTTGTCCTGGGGCTCAGGTTTGTGCTTTCTGCCTTAAACGGTGTCATTACGTCGAAGCACATTCCTGAAACGTATTTTTTGTTTTTTTTAATTAAGTTTCCCTGCTGCGTGTACTGCAGGGATCTTTTAAGCTTAGGGCTGAGGAGGACGAGGAATATCCGGGGCTCGGGGTTTCGGCCGTGGGATGCGTTCGCCCCTCCATCCCGTCCTCAGCGGGTGACCCAAGGTCTGTGGAGGGGATCTGGGGGCGGGAACCCAGGGCCGGGGCCAGGCGATCCTGGCAGAGGCCCGTCCCAGGTTCCAGGTATGCCTGAGAAGCGCAAGGGGCCAGCTGGGGGTGCTGTGCCAGGCCACGGGCCTGTGGGCAGACCTGCAGCCTCTGTGTCCTGGGCGCCCCAGGCCCCCCCTTAGCCTGGGGGACACCCTGCGGCTGGCTCTTAGGCCCAGGAGCCTTCTGAGCACTCGGGGCAGGGCGGGTGGGCCTACAGGGCACAGGGTCCGGGAGCCCAGGGAGGAGACGGGTTCTCTTGGGTTTCCCAGAAGCGGTGTTGGGGTCAGCGAGGCCTGGCCCAGCGGGCAGCCAGGGCAGGCACTGGAGCGGACCTCTGGCCCAGCCCGGAGCGGGGGCCGGGCTGTGTTCTGCTCCAGTGGCCTGTGTCAGCCCCGTCATCAGCCTGTGGCCAGCTGGCTCCTGGGGGTCTGGTCATCTAACGGTGGCGCTCTCAACCAGCAGCCACTGCTGGGAATCACCCAGAGAGTCCTGGAGAAACACCCCCCTGACACAGGCCACACCTCTGGATCAGAGTGTGGATGCCCCCGAGACCACTGAATCAGGGTCCCAGGGGGCACGGCGTCTGTGGCCCCGAGGCTGGGGGTGGGGGCGGGCCGGAGGCAGGGAGGGGGTTACTCTCCACATGCCTTCTCCTCCCTCCCGGCCAACCTGACCCTGTGCTCACACAGGCCAGGCACAGAGGCCCTTGTCCTCACTCCAAAGTCCTGACCCGGGTTCCGCGTATGCCTCGCACACAGAAATGGGCCCCCCAGGGGGCTCTGCAAGGTCAAGGACGAGGCGAGAAAGAGGCAGGGGGCGGAGCGAGGTGGCTGGAAAAGAGGCTGTGAGGTCTGGTTGGGTCGCTCCTGGGCATCAGTGTAGGTGGGGCGTTTACACCACGCAACTGGCAAACGGCCCCTCGGGGCGTCTTCCCCCCAGAGCTGGTCTTTGGCCGCTGGCAGGAGAGGCGCGGGCTGCAGCACCTGCACGGAGGAGGCGCTCTCCCCGGGGATCAGCCTCTGTCCGGTGAGCGGGGGGGGGACGGACGAAGCCAGCAGCCTCACTTCTGGGTCGGGTGGAGACAGGGGTCTCCAGCTGGACGGGTGGCCCATCCAGTTAGTTCCTGTACCTTGACGCGGCTAAGTGGTGGGTTGGAGAGGGAGGCGCAGGTGGTTTGCTCCAGGGGGCCGCATGGAAGCCGCACCCCTGCCCACGTTTCCCTCCCTTCAGGCCTGCTGGCCGCCCTGGGATCTCCCCCTCCTTGGGCAGAGGCCCCCAGCCTCTCCTGGAATAGCCTCGGAGAATTACTGGGTGGCGGGAGTCGGCACCAGCACAGTGAGCAGTGGGGGGCATCCGTGGGCCTGGGGACACGGACTGGGGGCTGCTGCCTGACGGCCTCCACCGGCGACCCCCACTCCCGCCTGCAAGCAAAGCCTGGGAGATCAGCCCCTCTAGGTCGGGCTCTCACTTGGGAGCCCCGTTCCCCGGGGTGGGGGGCACGGCTGGCTACACCTAGATTAGGTCTCAGGGGCCACCTGCCTGCCTGCGGGGGGGGGGGGCGGTGCGGGCTGCCACCCGCACAGGGTCAGGCCGGAGGACGCGCTGGGCGCTGGGCTGACTTCCCTGCTGGGGTCTGTCCTCCTCAGGAGGAAACTTGAGACCTTGCTGAGCCCAAAAAAGCCACTGCCCTTTAGAGGCAGCTGGGTGGGAGCGGGCCAGGCCTGAGCGGGGGAGGGAGCACGGCAGCAGCTGCCACTCAGCCCAGACCCTCCTGCCCGGCGGCGCCAAGTGCAGGTGAGGCCCAGGTGAGGGCCTGAGGCGGAGCCGGGGCTCCGAGGTAGCGAGGGGCTGGCCCAGCCAGACTAGCGGCTCGCCTTCCGTCCTCAGGGACCTTCCTTCCTCAGGGACGCACAACCAGTCCTGGCCATGGGCGGCGCCGTGGTCGACGAGGGCCCCACCGGCATCAAGGCCCCCGACGGGGGCTGGGGCTGGGCCGTCCTCTTAGGCTGCTTCGTCGTCACGGGCTTCTCCTACGCCTTCCCCAAGGCAGTCAGCGTCTTCTTCAAGGAGCTCATGCGTGAGTTTGGGATCGGCTACAGTGACACGGCCTGGATCTCCTCCATCCTGCTGGCCATGCTGTATGGGACAGGTGAGGGGCTGTCACGCCTGGCGTTCACCTCGGGAGCTCACCACGGGCCGCACGGGCAGGAAGGCCTGGGGGCGGGAGGAGGGCAGGGCCCAGGGGGCCCCAGAGCTGAGGCTCCCCACGGGGCGGAGCTAGCACAGGCCAAGTCTTTGTAGGACCTTGTCCGACGACAGGCTGTACCTGCACAGCCGTACGTAGTCTCGGAGGACGAGGCTCTGGAACTGTCCTTTACGGACACTTGGGTCTTGATGCCTAAACGGACCACACAGAGGAGAGTGGCCGTGCTTCTCCTGGGAGGGTGTCTGGGTGTGACTCGAATCCTGGACACCTGGCGTGTCTGCTGAGCTGTGGGGGGGGGCACCAGGGAGGGAGAGTTTGGGCCCAGCTCTGTGCCCCCCACCCCCAGGCCCGCTCTGCAGCGTGTGCGTGAACCGCTTCGGCTGCCGGCCCGTCATGCTCGCCGGTGGCCTCCTGGCGTCCCTGGGCATGGTGGCTGCGTCCTTCTGCAGAAGCATCATCCAGCTCTACCTCACCACTGGGGTCATCACCGGTGAGTGGGGCCCGGCAGGGAGCAGCGCAGGCCACGGCGCGCTCAGCCCTCAGTGGCCGGATAGCGGGCAGTGCGGGGGGCCTCTCGGGAAGGGGCGGCTGTGGGTGGCCTCCCACCCCCGGCGCCAGTCTGTCCCTCGACCCCCCGTCTGTCTCTCCCAGCATGTTGGCTGGTGACAGGGGCTCTGAATGCATACCGGGCCCCTCGTACGGACACCCACAGACCCTTCATACGACTGTTCAGGCCGGAGCCTGTGTCTGGGCAAAAGGGGGACTGGGACACGGCGCCAGGAAGGCAGAGCTGACGCCTTCCCCGCCATCCCCTCCCGCAGGCTTGGGCTTGGCGCTCAACTTCCAGCCCTCCCTCATCATGCTCAACCGCTACTTCAACAAGCGGCGCCCCGTGGCCAACGGGCTGGCGGCCGCGGGCAGCCCCGTGTTCCTGTGCGCCCTGTCCCCCCTGGGGCAGCTGCTGCAGGACCACTACGGCTGGCGGGGCGGCTTCCTCATCCTGGGGGGCCTCCTGCTCAACTGCTGCGTGTGTGCCGCGCTCATGAGGCCGCTGGAGGCGCCCCGGCTGGGCTCGGGGCCCGAGACCCAGCGGCCAGCCCGGCGGCTGCTGGACCTGAGCGTCTTCCGGGATCGTGGCTTCGTCATCTACGCCGTGGCCGCCTCCATCATGGTGCTGGGGCTCTTCGTGCCCCCCGTGTTCGTGGTGAGCTATGCCAAGGACCTGGGTGTACCCGACACCCAGGCTGCCTTCCTGCTCACCGTGCTGGGCTTCATTGACATTTTCGCCCGGCCCACCGCGGGCTTCATCACAGGGCTTAAGAAGGTGCGGCCGTACTCCGTCTACCTCTTCAGCTTCTCCATGTTCTTCAACGGCTTCACAGACCTCACGGGGTCCACGGCCAGCGACTACGGTGGCCTGGTGGTCTTCTGCATCTTCTTTGGCATCTCCTACGGCATGGTGGGGGCCCTGCAGTTCGAGGTGCTCATGGCGATTGTTGGCACCCAGAAGTTCTCCAGTGCCATCGGCCTCGTGCTGCTGCTGGAGGCCATTGCCGTGCTCATTGGACCCCCGTCGGGCGGTGAGTGGTGGGGCACAGCCTTCCTGGGGTGGGGCCCATCACGGGAGGACTCTTAGTTGCAGGGACACCTGCCCAGGTGGGCAGGCCACCCGTATTCCAGCACAGACCCAAGAGGTGTCAGGAGCGAATGCTGGCCATGCCTACCTCCTGGGGACCTGCCTGGTCCACCACAGAGGGGGCCACGGGCCTGGACCAAGGGCAGGCACGTGCCGAATCCTGAGGGTGGTGCTCTCCCTGCGGGCAGGCCAGCTCAGAGCCCAGCTGGGGGGGTCAGCTTTCGTTACTTTGAGCTTTTACTCTTCTTTGCAAAGGCTGAGAAGGTCCTGGGGTGTGATTTTAAATGGTGTGGGCCTAGGGGTCTCCCAGGCTGACTCTGTAGGCCCGCACCCACAGGACCCCGTGAGTGCCTGGGGGTCCTTCTGGGGCCTAGGCAGTTCCTGTGAAGGCCACAGGTGAAGAGGCCTCCCCGGTGGCAGCGGACAGGCAGTATGGCCACACACCTCCGGGCGCCTCAGATGAGGCACTCACCCTGAACCTGCACCCGCACTGCTCCAAACCCTCCTCCAAGCCTCTTGGTCTGCGGCCCCTGGCGGGGAGGAGAAGCCGGGGCAGGGTGCCCCTGGGCTGTTCCCAACAGCACAAAGGTGCCCAGGTAGCTGGTGACCGTGGGGGTGACCTTCAGCCCAGGCTGACGCTGACGCTGTCGCCCCTTTGTAGGCAAGCTCCTGGACGCGACGCACGTCTACCAGTACGTGTTTGTCCTCGCAGGGGCCGAGGTGGTGGCCTCCTCCCTCGTGCTGCTGCTGGGCAACTTCTTCTGCATCAGGAAGAGGCCCGAGGCGGCCGCGGAGGAGGAGGAGCGCCACAAGCCGCCCGCGGACGTGAGGGTGGACTCTCGAGAGGTGGAGCACTTCCTGAAAGCAGAGCCTGAGAAAAACGGGGAGGTCGTTCACACCCCAGAAACGAGTGTCTGAGCCAAGGAGGCCAGCAGGGCTGAGGGAACCGGACAGAGACTTCAAGGCTCGTGTTTATTTCACAAACAGGACTGGCTTGGGTGGGGCCCTCCGTGTGTCTCGAGGGGCTGGTGGGGTGGGAACCGTGTCATTCCAAAGCAGGTCTGTGGTAGAGCCAAGCCGCGAGGTTGCAAGCCGTCTGCACCGGGGCCCCAGCCTGCTGACCCCAGAGCAGCCCGGTGCCCACCGCTGAGCTCAGGGACCTAGAAAGCCACGCTTCAGAGACAACACGACTGGGATCAGGGCCAGAGCGGCACCGTCTTGGGAGAGAACCACCCCCTGCACGTGGCTGGCTGCACCCTGTCCCGCCCCCCCTCCACCAAGGCGCCCCAGACCACCCCTCGCCGAGTGTCTGGGGGACAAACCTCCCCTCCACCTCTGAAGGTCTGAAATAAACCTGCGTATGGGAGGAACCACCTTGGAAGGAATGTCTTCAAAGAACTGGGGTCTCGTTCTACGAGGGGCAGGGGTCCGACTGCTGGCTCCGAACTCACTTTTTCAACAGACAACCTGGTCATTTTTACAAAGTGGCTCTGGCCGTTGTCAGCTAGGCTGGCTTTCTAAATGCTGCCTGTTCTGGACCCCGTGCCGCAGGAGCCCAGACGGCTCAGAGCATCCACACAGGGGCCCGGTGCCTGGCAGGGAAGGGGGATGTGCTGCGGGGGTCTCGCTGCACCCAGGAGCCTCTTCAAGGCGTGGGCACTTGGGCAGAGACATACGTGTGATTCATGTTCTCTATGTGTGTGTTTAAAGAAAATGATCTTCCTGCCTTCCATTTATTCACCCCTCGGTTGGCTGATCGTGGCCCTATGTGGTCAGCGCCCAGGGTGGGCATCTGCTCCCATCCTCCTCATCCAGCCCTGCTCGGCCTCGCCCTGGGCACCTCACACCCACCTGCCCTCGTGGCCAGTGGTGGCCTGCGTGGCTGGGAGGCCGGTCAGAGGCCGCTGGGGCCGCCTCAGTAGGTGGTGCGTCGCGGGCGCTGGGGACGGCAGCGGGCACCCTGGCGGGCAGCGTGCAGCCGGAGAGACGCCACGTCCCTGCTCCTCTGCAATGAAAAGCAAGGGAAAGCTCACATCTTGTCCCGGCAAGGGACGTCACCCCCGGAGGGTGCCCGGGGGGAAGGGCTGGGACTCTCCCTCCTCCACGTGCCCATCGAGCTGTGTGGAGAAGCCGGGCACCTGCCTGCAGAGCCCGCCCACAGCCCCAGGGCTCTGAGGTCCATCCTGGTCTGCCTGGGGCGGGGGCTGTGGCAATGCCAGCTGCTGCAGGGTTCAGGGTGTAGCCCCGCACCTACCGCCTTAGCCTGTGTTCAGGTGGGCCAGGCAGGGCCCGCTGGGCTGTTTGTACCCGCCCCTCCTTGGCCGCAGGAGCTCCGTCTGGTCGCTGCTGGCTGCGCAAAGCTCTTTCGGGCTTCCTGGACCTCACACTGCAGTCTCCCCAACCCTCACCCTGAAGTGCTTCCCCAGCACTGGCCAGGAGCAGCCGAAGTGTGCGTTCTCACCCGTCTCCATGCCTGTGTCCAAAGGCTGGCCCAGCATGGGGACTGGAGACCACCCCCCCCCCACCAAATCCTGCCCTGGGGACACAATATTAAGCAGTTTGGAGATGGTCAATGTGCCAGCACCACTCCAATCGAGGAAGGATACACACAGCTGGCCCGGGGGCTGGGGTCCACGGGAGAGTACACACATTCTGGGGTGAGCACGGGTCCACCTGTCCCTTAGCCGGCACCTTGGTGGACATGCTAGGGGCACCCAAAGACCCTTTGCCAGGCACAGTATCAACAACGCCTCCACCCCAGACCGGAGGCTGAGGTTCCAGGCCAGAGGCAGAGTTAAGCAAGCGGTCTTATCTGCCTAGTTTTCTGGTTCTAGGTGTTTCCGGCTGGGCCCGACATGGGACAAAGGAAACGTGGCTGTCCTCAGGAAGCTGTGGCCACATAGGGCTGAGCACTCCTCCCTGACAGAGCAGTCAGTGTCCATGGGCCTGTGGGCCCTCACCCTCCAGCACCCCGTGGGGACCAACCCCTGCAAGTGAGGCAGGCGCCTGTGCCAAACCCCCTCTCAGTGGGCCCCCTTGGCCCCTCCTTGGAAGGCATGCACACGTCACCCCAAATCACTCTGGACTGCTGCCCCTGGCCTGGCCGGAGCTGGGGGCACCTGCCACGTACACACACTGGGAAGGGCCTATGTGGAGAAGCCCCTGGCACATGCATGTGGGGCCTGAACGGGGTGGGCGGGGCTGCCCAGTCCTTCCCAGCGTCTAACCCATGGCCCTAGGATGCAGAACGTGGCCGACCCTTGTAACCAAACACACGGGTGCAGGGGAGGCAGCACCCAGGCCCAGCTTCCAAAGGTCTTGCCAGGAGACCAGAGAACAGAGGGATGAGGGACAGGGTGTGGGGTTTCCAGGAGGGGCTCCCGACAGCTTTCTCTCAGTGGAGGCTCTGCACACACTCCCAAGCCCTGAACCTTACGTGCCAGCCCAACGACCGAACCCCCAGTCAGGAAGACGGGGGCTGCTAGGCTCTGGGCAGAGGACCCTATTCCAGAACCTGGCGGCCCAGTGGGTTCAGCCAGAGTGGCAGGAAGGGAAGGGCCGGGGGCCCAAAGGCAGGGACTCAAGCCCCACGGCCTCCAGGACACCCCCAAGTGCCAAAGGCTGTGGGGCAGGTGGCACTGGGCTCCCGCACACTCGCTAGGGGCAGCTGGCTCCTCAGGTGCACGCAGGCCGACCCCACACCTTCCTGTTCGGTGGGGTGTGGGGCTCACGGGGACTCCAGGGCTTCAAGAGTGCAAGTGGGAGAGGGAGACCAAGGCCACAAGTTCAACAAAGGGAGGCACCCACCCTGGAGCCGCCTCACAGGAACCATATGCTCCCTTGGTGGCCGCAGGGCCCTGGTACCGCGCTGCCCACTCCCCACTCCAGGCAGGTGGCAGTGCTTCCTTCTGGTGCTGCTGCCAGGGCCATGGGACTCAGGCGCCCACTGGGTGAAGGCAGTCAAGGCTGGGGGGGAAGGGCCCCCGAGCGCACTGGCCTGTGTGTGCGCAGGACCCGTGCAGCCTCCGCTCTGGAACTGCAGAAGCGGCAGCCCGTCCCCACCACCTGCTCCCGACCAGCTTACACCAACCCCACCAACAGGCCATGGCAGGTCGGACACAAAACACGCCTGCTGACAGGTCCGTCTTCGTGTGGGTCATCCACCCACGCCTCTCAAACGGATGAAATAAAGACCATGTGAAGGGCAGGGCAGGGGAAGGTAGAAGTCATCATGGATTTATTATTTACATGGTGGGTGATACATAAATGCAGTGATCACACAAACGTGCCAAGTCAGAGACTGGCCACCAATACACAGGTTGATACAGACGTTGCAACTACGTGTCCTGCGGTCGTGACGGGGAATTGAACACTGGGCGGGCAGCAAGTGTGCACGGACGGACGGACGGACGGACAGGCAGACAGCCGCACAGCTGAGGCCCCGGAGCCGGGCCCGCCTATCAAAGTAATCCAGCAATTTCCAGTGGAAGCCCAGATGCAGGGCGTGGGAAGTCTGCCCCTACAGGTCTCGGGCGGCACCCGGGGCACTCCGGCTGCCCACACCCCGCCGGGGACAGACGCACCCCTGGGGAGGGTGCCCAAGCCACCCTGGTCCACCCGAGCTCGCGCTGCACTCCCAGAAACACCACTCCACCCGGCCAAGGCCCTGCACCCCAAAACAGAGTAACCAGCTCAGGATTCACAAAGAAGCAAACGGCTGCACTCCGGCGCCAGTGGCTGAGGGGGCAGGAGGGGAAAACAGACACGGACACTCCTCCCCGGTTTCCACACAGAGCGCTGTGCAGGGGGAGACGGGAGGAGGCAGAAGTTCCCATGAATGCCTATATTGCACCTTGTTTCCCGCGACGGGGGGCTCCCGGCTACCACCCCCACCTGGTGCCTCTGTGACAAGATGGGGGGGTGTCCTGGAAGACCACCAGGAGCCCAGGGGCCCCGAGAGGGTCTTTCTTGTGAGAGTCAGCCCCGCCCTGCTTCTTGACCCCTGTGGGGTTTGCTAGGTTCCAACAACAGTCCCGGAAGGAAGTGCGTGGCGCCACACCCTCCTGGACACAGGTCGAGTCACTGGCTTCTTGGCACTTGAGGGCGGGTTCCCTTGGGCCGAGGCCTCTGTGGGCAAAGCCGGCGCCGGGCACACCACCATGCCCTTGGTTCTGAGCACAGAGATGTTAACAATTAAGGGCCAATCTACAGCGATCACAGTTATAGTCTGTTCAGAAAACTTCTCAAATTCAAAGACACTGAGGCAACACCACCACCAAAATAATCACACGCGACCCCCACGAGAGGCCCAATGTCTCTTGGCTCGAAATCCTCTCCTGAGGTGCCAGCAACGCACACGCAAAGCCTTGGCCTTGGCGGTCCTCGGTGCTCGGCTTCCTCCGGGCCGGGTCCACGGAGATCAGGCGCCGCTGCCCTCGCTAACTGCTCTGGGGCCGCCTCGCATGGGCCTTCCGGCTTCAGTGGGGACAGGACAGCGGAGGCCAGAACCCGCGTAACGAGACACACGGACACGCACGGACACGCACGGGGCACAGACACACACGTCTACACGGGACGGCACTTCTGACGAGAAAACCCCTCTCCACAGCGGCCCACACCACACACGGACCGCAAAGCAGAGAACGGCGCCCGCGCTCTGCTCCCTGACGCCAGCCTCTGCTCCGGGGGCTCCTTAGAGGCAACATCTGTCTAAGACCGCACAAACAGACGAGAGAGAAACAATAAAAAGACAGGTTTCTTTACACAGATTTAAGCCAGTAATTTTTAGCAAAATGATACAAAACTGTCTTAACCAAGTAGAAGATCGGTAGTTACAGTGGGCTCGTCAGGGAGCAGGGCGCCGCCTGCAGGGGACGGAAAGGCTCTTGAGCGGGAGTCTGGTTCTCTCTGCAACCGTCTCTCACTCTCTGCTTTTCTTCCCAGCCCGAGACAGCCGGGCCACGTGGGAGGCCCTCGGTGCAGCCCCTGCGACGGCAGAGCTTTGCGGTCTGTCCGGTTTAGTTTGTTTGGTTTCCCCCACGGGCGTCGCTGGGTGGGCGGCCTGGAGAGCTCCCGGCGTTACCAGGGGGCGCGTCACTAGGAAAGCCATTGTAACAGAGTAGACCAGCCATGCATTGTCTGCCCTTCACAGCGGAAAGTTCTCATCGGTGCACCACAGACTGAAGACCACTGGAAGCCACCCGACCGGGAATCTGTCGGAGCCAAAGCACAGGAGAAGGTCAGCATGAGGCCAGGGGCACGGGGCCGGCCAGGCTCGGGCACAACACAGCGGTGACGGCGAGGGGTGGGGGGGCACACGGACGCTTGCCCAGCCCTACTCTGGACGCCCACGCCAGACGCCCAGCCACTCCGGAAGGTCCCTCTGCGGCCAGGACACGTGCTCAGCGGAACGAGTGACACGAAGATGGGGAAGGAGGAAGAGGCGTGCAAGCAAGGAGGCCAGGTGGCCACGGAGCTGGAAGCTCGAGAACGATTAGACCAGACAGAGTCCAAGCTGGAAGAGGCGCTTGCTCCCAGCACCCCCTTCCTGGAAAGTAACCCGGCGTTCAGAAAGCGGGGACCAGGCACCGTGTGGGCACTGGGATTCCCCGTGGGGGCAGGCGTGAGAAGCAGCTCCCGTCAGGGCACCCCTGGGAACGCGGCCGCGCCAGAACCGCAGCAGCGAGCCCTGGCCACGCGGGGCCACGGCGTCACCGACGGGAGCAGGCCTGGCTCGGACGCCCAGCCATGTGCCGACGGCAGGCAGGGGAGCAGGCGGCTGTGGCTGACGGGTTAATACAGATGGCAGCACGGACGGGATGCTGGGCAGAGACCGAGCTCGAGAAAGAAAAACAAAAGAGGACAGAAATAATGCGAAAGAAGAGAATGACAAAGCCAGGGCGGCAGAGACCACCGGGAGACTCCCGCAGCAAGAGCGCAAGAGCCCCCACCAAGCACGGCCCGCTCAGCTGAGGACGACACACGCCCCACGCCCCACGCCACGGACCCTGGGGCTGGGCGGCTCGAGTGGCCCGGGGCCACCCCGCTCGGAGATGCTCCAGAATCCGCTCGAGGAGAAACACCGGGCGGAGGGCGCGTGCTCTCCCGGCAGTGCCCGGCATGCAAGCCCGGTCCCGTCTGCGCACCCCCGGGGCGGACGCAGGGGTGGTCCGCGCCCGCCTGCCGGGCCCCGACATGAGCACACTCACCCGGTGCTGCCTTCCAGCGGGAGACGTGCAGCTACTTGCCGTGGTGTTCGAAAGGAATGCTATTCTGAGGTGGGGGGAAAAGACAGCCGTTGGTGAGGGTTCCGCCGGCAAGCAGGACTGAGGCCTTCCTCACCTCGCTTCCACCGGGTCTGCGACCCGGCCAGGCTGCCTCAGAAGGGACCCAGCGACAATGCGAGCAGCCGCGGCCACTCCTCTCGGCTCAGGCAGTGCGCGAACCTGGCATCCAGGCGGCCGCTCCTTGGCTGGCCCTGCCCCCAGGCCTTGCTCATGCGCGGCCACCCCCTCCTGATACGCGGACCGGCCACGGGAAAGCCACAGGGAAGACTTGGGGAACAGAAATGCAGACAAATGGAGAATAACTGGCTCAGAGGCCACGTCACGTTCTATCAATGGTGCTGGACCTGCGAGGCCTTTTCTTCTCAAAGAGGAAAACTTGCAAACAGGTTCGCTGACCAGATGCCCTTCGGAGTCCTTGCTGCTCTGGCTGAGAAGCTGGACTCGCGCCCTGGGTCAGAAGCGTGGGGACTGCCTCTAGCACAAGCCGCCCTCAAGAAGGAAGGAGGGGCAAGGAACGGTCACCCTCCTGTGAAGTCTGAGGACACCATGGTTAAGGGGTCGCAACAAGGGACACAGGGGTCAAGGCCCCTCCCAACGCCGAGCTAGAGAGTCAGCAGAGAACCCCCCCAGCAGGCCGGCCGGCAGCTTGGGCACCTTCTGCTGAAGATGTACTACGTCCTCGGACTTGGCACACCTGCACAAGACACACCCCTCCTCCTCAGAGCCCGCAGAGAACCGAGACAAACAGCCGCCACGGGGGAAGCGGGCAGACGCACGGCCTCAGCCCCGCGAGGGCCACCCTCGCTTCACAGGAGCGTCACTGGCCTCCTTCACCCCACTTCCTTTGGGGGGAGTGTGAGTGGCACCCACGATCATACAAGCTGGAGCAACTCCCTTGACTCTGGAACCTCCAAACCACCGGAGCCGACACTGGGGGCAACCCCCACCGAGAATCTCCGAGACTCTTGCTGTCCCCCAGGGTGCCTGTCTCCTAAGAAGAGCACAGGTGGGTGGGTGACCCGGAACACCCAAAGGAGGGGCCATCCCTGGGACAGGGATGCATCAGGGACACACCACGGGGCCGTGTCCTCACCACAAAGGCCCTAAGAAAACCCCCAGGGAGACCAGTGCTCCTGTCAGGGAGGAGACACCCCCCCCGCCGCACCTCTGGAGACTCGTCCCCCGGCCCAGTCCCACACTTCTTCACATGGAAAGCACAAAGCACAGGGACGCGGAACGCGGACTCCAGCTGCGAGCTCGCCTCTGCTACGACCTGACCTCACTGCGAGGCCCCGGGGCTGCGGGCCGAGGCCGGCACCCCGTGCGGGAGAAGTGGGGCTCCCGGCACTCTCAGGCTCTCTGTGGTCCCAAACCCTCCGCGTGCGTTCTTTTCCCTCAGAGGGAACTGGCTTTGCCCCGTCCTTCATCTTTGCTGGCTGAGTATTGACCCTGAGTCCAGAATCCCTGGGGTCTACAGACCCCGGCCTTCCCTGCCTGGGGTATCTGGAGCCCCGGAGCAGGCTGCATGCCTGGGCTCTCAGCCCCGCGTGGGCAGACGCTGCCTATGACCTGTTCCCTGCTGCTGATTCGTGGGTTCCGGGGCTTGTGGGAAGACGCCGTAGCCCTGTGTCCTGCCAGGAGGGAGGTGCAGCGTGGGCACGGGGGCCATAAGGAGCCCAAGCGAGGCACCCTGACCAGACTCTTCGAGCCCCACAATTCAAACTACAGGGATCCTTAATCTCTTTGGGAGAAAGTTATCATACAAAGACAACCCCTTGCAGCAGAACTACCGCTAAATTAGAGGTGTTCACAGTGAAACTATTCACTTCACTGGATTAAAAACAAGAGTGGTCAGGGTAACTCCCTGTGCCTGGCCACACCTTGCTCCTCTGCCAGAAGGTCAAGCAGACACTGCCGCACCGAGGCTCTGGGCAGCTCTCACAGCCGCCATGCTCTCCTAACTGACGTGCTCGACCCAATTCAGCAAGAAGATATGCACCGCACCAAGCGTGTGCCAGCAGCAGAGCCCAGGGCTGACTCGTCCATGAGAGGCGCCACGGAGAGCCAGAGGGGCGCCGCCTGGGTGCGTGGCCCAGGCCCTGGGCTTCCAGGGCGCTCCGCAAACCAGCACTCCCCTCCCCAGCAGATATCACAGGGCACAGGGACCCAGAGGACCCTGGTGGACGCAGGACAGGGCCCTGACAGCTACCGGAGCAAGAAGACTCAAGTGTGTGAAAAGAGCTCATCTGTGGAGGGCACGTGGGCGAATGCGGAGGAGCCATGGCACCAAAGTCAGAGAAGAAAGAGGAGAATGTGGGTGGAAGGGACCTGTGTGCATGGCCGAGCCACTTCTCTGAGGACACCTGCCTCGTCAGCAAGAAGGCAGGTGGGCAGGGACCTCAAAAGACAGAACCCTCACCCACGCTCGGACAGGCTTGTCCCTGACTAGGCCCCCTTCCAGGGGCCGCCAGCAATCCCTGGGGACCACCTGCGCAACAAGGGTGAGCAGAGAGCCCCTGCGCCTGTGTGTGCCTGTGTGCGCACGTGACAAGCGTGGGACCTGAGCAGCCACAGCATCTCCAGTCTGTGCTGGAAGACGGCCGAGCCGCCGGGAATGGCTTGGGGAGGGGCTGCAAGGAGGGCCACAGAGGAGAAACAGCCCCTTTACCCGTCCCAGTGCAGCCGGGGACGCAAGCCCCTCCTCTGCACGGCCGGCCGCATGCTCTGAACCCAGGGGCTGCAGAGCAGCAAGGGGTGCCGGGCCCCTCCCCGCTTAACTCTCAGAAATGATGAACAAAGGGGAGAGGAAGGAAGGAAGGAAGCCCTTCAACGCCGGTGTCCCACTCTGCCTGGGGCCCGAAGTCCATCCCGGACACAGAGAGGCCCTGGGCCCGCAGCGTCCTGACCTCGATGAGCCCAGAGCACGTACCTGTGAGGTGGACATGCGGGAGGTATCTTGTCGGCCCGTGAGATCGGAGGACGAGATGTTGACGGGGGCGCCGCGGTGCAGCCGCATACTCACTTTCCGCTCCCTTTCCATGCCGGACACGGGCCGAGGAGAGGTGTTAGCTGGAGGGAGGAGACGAGGGTGAGGGGTGAGGATGAGGCCACAGGACAGCCCCCCACCCAGCGAGAAGGGGGCCTCTCTTCAGCTGCGTCTAGCACGTGGAGGTAGGTGCCGCTGCACCCTGCGGGGCCCCGCCACAGCTCCAGGCCTGCCAGCACCCGATTTCCAGGCCGGCAGCAGCGGGCAGGGCCCACGCAGCGCCCAGGGCCGCCAGTGTGCCGGCTCCAGGCGGATCTCCCAGGAGCACGAGCAACAGAGGGGGGCAGCTCGAGGCCTCCATGCTGACGATGCCGCTGACAAGAGAGGAAAGGGAGCAGGAGAGAGGCTCCCAGGGAAGCAATCCGTGTCCCAAGGATGAGAAACGACAGCGGCAGGACCTCCAAGTCCAGTGAAACACACGTCCCCTGGTCTCCCCATCCTCGGGAACCAGAGTTGACCAGAAGCGGGACACAAACAGCCTCACCCTGCACGGGGCCCCTCAGCTCCAACAGAGTGTCCAACCCGCAAACCTCCCCAGTGCCTGCTGGGGAGACGAGGTGCCAGCCCACTCACCAGTGTGTGAGGTAGGGGTGAGGGGGGTGGGAGGAGCCACCTCCTGGGTGCCCCGCAGGCGGCCAGAGGCCGTGGAGGGGAGGCCGCGGGCGGCTGGGTTCCGGGGGTGCCTCAGCCGCTCCTCTCGGTCACGGCGCTCCCGCTCAGAGTCATCAACTGCCCGGCTGGCTCCCTGTGAAGGAAACGGGGAGACCAGACTGAACAGGGTTCTGTGCAAGGGTCCTGGCTGCCCCCCTGTGACTCAAGGACACACCACGGGCACCGGGGCCTGTAGCCAGCTGGGACGAGGTGCCTCTCCCTCCTGGACAGCGGCCTGCCCCTTGACCCTGTGAGTGCACAGAGGAGGTACCCCCACACTGACAGCAACTGGGTGGCCTCTTCCCTGTGAGCATCCACATAAGGACCGGAAATTATACAAGGTAAGGGCAGCAGTGGGCCCAACATGCTGGCATCCAAAGGATCCGAGAGGCATGTGAAAGTGGCGGCATCCAGTCAGTGAGAGGCCTGAGCAGAGCCCAGACCCCCAGCCCTAGGGCGGAAGTCAGTCCAGTGCCCACATGACAAGGACTCAGGTAGCCAGATCTGTCCTAGGAGGACCCACGTGGTGGACACCACTTAACTGGCTTTGCCCCCGGCACGAACAGCTAGTTACACTCAGGGTAGGATGATCGGGGCAAGCGGGCTCAAGATAACCGCCTCATTCTAACTACTAGCACTGTAACGCGAGGGTGTGCAAAGCGCAGCCCACAGGCCGGATCCGGCCGCCATCAGCTCCTACAGGAGGTCCACCGTGGCGGCCGCACTCACTGTGGAACACGCCACCCGTGGCAGCTTCCCGGCAGCAGCCACGCTGTCGTTCCAGTGCGCACCGCAGTGCTGTGATCATTCACACTCCAGCCCCGCCCAAGAAGGGGGATGCCGCCAGACAGCTGCCCAGACTCTGGGCGACCTGTGGGGGCACGTCCTGCGGCAGCCCACGGTGGGACACCCGGCTCTCCCACACACGGCACAGACCCTTGCATCATCACCAGGGCACCCGAGAGGCTGCGGAACAATCCTTTCCGGCCTACGCCGTCTAGAGAGGAGGTTCTGCTCCTCTGTCAGATCTTGTCACCCTGGAAAGGTTCCAATTCCTCTTTTAAGTTTGTAACTAAACATAACAAATTTGTAAAGAAAGAGAAAGAAGTTCCAAAAAACCCTGGAAATTTCTGGCAACAGTATCTAAAGATTAATTAGACTTCCATGACAGGCAGCCTGTTTCAGAGAAGGCAGACACCGAAGCTCAGGTTCTGCACCCCCACTCCCAGCAGTCACGCGCAAACACCTGCACCCATTCAACAAGCCCGGGAACAAAGGAAGTCAACGTACTCAGAGCCCAGACAGTGCGCCTCCCCAGGTGCCCACCCACACGCTGGGTCAGAGGGAAAATGGCCAAGTGGTCACCTCACCTGGCAGGAGCCCTCGGCCTTGACTATACCCTCCCGCATGAGAAATTCTCGGGAGCCACACCTCAACATCATGGGCAGTCAAAACCACACACTCTCAGCAATGAGGACAGTGGCAGTAAAATGACCTTCCCGTTAAGTCTGTCATTCAAGTAAAAGCACTGGTTCCAGGCAGACCTGTGCCTAAAAACACACTCCAGTGGCTACAGGGGGCCGGCGCCGACGCAGTGCCTTCTTTGCTGTCCCCTCACAGGGATCCTGCTTCTCCCCGGGGCCCCAGCGCTTGCAGTGCACTCGACTCCCCCAGGCGACAGACATGCCTCCTAAAACCTGCACCTCGTCTGGAAGCCTCTGTCTGCCGGCTGGCAGAGCACTTACGAATTTGAGCATGTTCCAGTCGAACACATAGTCATAGGAGAAACCCTGGCGGTGGAAGAGATTCCTGAAGAGCTGCCTCAGGTAGGAGTAGTCAGGCTTGTCGTCAAAACGCAAGGAGCGGCAGAAATTCAGGTACGTGGCGAACTCAGCTGCGGGACGAGAGACTTGGCGCTAACCGGCAGTGCCCAACGGAGCACTGGTGTCTGCTGACTCTCCCAACCACCCACGGCCGCACACCTGGGACGTGAGACACGTCGTCTCAAACACCGGGGGAAACTGAGGCTTTAGGAAACGGTTTAAGCAAGCCCAGCACCAGAGGGCACAGCCTAGTTCCGCCCGGGGCATTTCTCCGTAGGAACAAAGGAAACCCCCTGGGTCGTGGCCCCGGAGGGCAGAGGAGCTCCAGGGACAGGAAGCTGCCACTCTTCCCTTCCTCCTGGCGCTCCCGCCCCACCCCCCCACCCCAAGACCGCAGGCCCGCCCAGTGCCGGCACTGGAGGACACGCACAGGGGTAGCTTTTACACAGCACTTCGATGGGGGTGGACATCTTCTTCTCACTGATCCGCTCATACTTCTGCCTCTTGGTGGCTGCCTTCAGCCCCTGCCAGGGCAGAGAGCCCAGATTGAAGTACATGAGCACATAGCCCAGCGACTCCAAGTCATCCCTTCGAGATTGTTCTGGAAAAGACAGGAAACGGGTCAAGGACAGCACACATGCACCTGCAGGTGTAAAGCCCAGACCCTAGGTGCACGCTTACTGTGGAAATGCGCTTTTAAAGTCGCAGAAAATACTCTTGGATTCTCTGTCTCACCAGAAGTCACCCCTGCTGTGCTGTTAGGGGCTCTGGCACCCTTGGAGGGGCGATACCAATGTGACAAGGGCTGTCAGAAAGCCCAGGCACTTGCCGCCCCCACCACACCTCACAAAAGGTTCTCCACAGTCCAGAACGGCAGCCTTTGCTACACAGGTTTGAGGACAACCTCCATCCCCAACATGCTGACCACGTCAGGGTCCCCCAAGGGGCTGACCTCTCCCTGAGCCAGGGACAGACATGCTCAAGGTAACCTGGGCCAGTGACCGGGGGCACAGAAGAGCCCACCACCCACGGGCTCACCGATTCCAAGATGCGTGTTGATGGAGGCATACCGCGCCGTCCCGGTGAGGTTTTTGTTCTCGCGGTACGGAATGTGCTGGTGGGTCCTGGCGTCTCGGTACTTCTTGGCCAGCCCAAAGTCAATGATGTAGACCAGGTTGCCCTTCTTCCCCAGCCCCATGAGAAAGTTATCTGGCTTCACATCTCGATGGATGAAGTTCTTTGAATGAATGTATTCAATGCGACTAATCTGGAGGCAGGCAGGGAAGGAAGGACAAGAGATTAAACCCCCGCAGGAGCTCTGAAAAAGGACCCCGCTCGGCAGAGGGAGGGCTGTGCCCTCGGCTGTGCATCCTGTGGCCCCCTGGCCAGAGCAGAGCAACTCAACAAGCAGGGAAGGGCGCCGGGCAGACTGCCTTCGGCGCCCCTGCCGTCTCCCTCGCTGGCTCTCGCGGCGGGTGGCCAGCCGGCGGGTGGCACCCTTCCCGACGAGGGTCTGCAGCAGCAGCAGGTCCCGTCAGTCGGGACCAGCACGCTCGCTCCTGCGGGAACTGGAGCCCCACACGTGAGCGGGCGGTGCTGCGTGGGGCGGCCCCAAAGGCGGCCAAGTGTCAGTGCCTTGCAGCCAAGGTCACAGTGTGCCTGCTCTGTCCCCGCCCACCGACGGGCGGAAGACAAGGGGACAGCGGAGGTGCCGCTGCTCTGCCGAGGCGAAGCGCGCACGCGCCGAGCGCCGGACCCCCGACACTCTGGGAAGCGGGTTCTCACCATCTGGTCCGCCAGCAGCAGGACGGTTTTGAGGCTGAACTTCCTCGAGCAGAAGTTGAACAGGTCTTCCAGGCTCGGTCCCAACAGCTCCATCACCATGACGTTGTAGTCGCCCTCCGCCCCGCACCACCGGATGGTGGGGATGCCCACTGCAAGAGAAACCCGACACGCCCGTGCTTGCACACGCACATGCACCGCGGGTCAGGCGGGCAGCGGCTGAAGCGACGGGGAGAGGCCAGTGTCCCGAGGTGGAGGGCTGAGCAGACACAAGAAAGCCAGAGGACAAGAGGGCCTCACCTAGAAAGAGCTGGTTCCCACCCACCTCCTCCCGTCAGCGTGCTGCGTGTGTCACAAGTCACACTACGATGGGCTCGCTGCTGTCAACCAAAGTCCACACTCTCTCAGGGGCCCTTGGTTTTCCCGTCCCCACGTCTCCCCGGGCGCCTCTGGGCTGAGCCGTCTCTCGCGGCCCTGGTTTCAGGGGGCCCAGCAGTTCTGGGGGTGCTGGGGCCATCCCTCCGCCGGGGCGTGTCTGCGGTGGGGGACGGGCTTGGGGAGGAACCACAGAGGCAGAGCGCCCTTCCCGTCACGTCAGGGGCCGTGCTGTCAGTGCGACGCCGTCACCGTGGACGGGACCTTGACCGCCTGGCTGAGGTGTGATCATTCTACCTTCCCGGACTCTTCTCTTTGGGAGGGGGAACCCCACTTCGAGGGTGGGGGGGTCATGCTCTTGACAGGGGAGCCTCCACACATATAACTCAAGCTCTTCTATACAATTTGTCTCTTCTCCCCATTTATTCAATCACTTTTTGGTAACATCAAGGGCCTGAAGGTCTGCACTGCACCCCAGGGCACTCACTGGGCCGTCCACAGCGCTCTACCCGTGGCCCCCGGGGCTCCTCGGCCAGCCCTGAGACCGTCTCCCAGACCCATCAATCGAGGCTTTTGTCCGTCTGTGTTTTGAGCGCTGCCTCACTTTCTGGCACTGTAAACGTTCTTAGTTCAGGTTTAGAGCAAGTTTTGATACCAACTGGGCAACCCTGTTTCGGTTTTAAAATTATTTAAAAATTTTCCATGTTTCATGAGAACAAATTCAAGAAAAGCATTAAGTGTTTTTAAAGCATAACATGGCAAAGGTCTGCAGCCCGGGCCACCTACCCAGACCAAGGGCACTCCTGAGGACTGCATGTGCCGTCACACCCCTCCTCTCGCTCCTGTGCTCCCCTGTCATCCCCTTGCTTTTAATGAAGCGAGGGCATATGATTACTCAGCCATAAAAAAGACCTTGCCATTTATGACAATATGGATGGACCTAGAGAGTATTGTGCTAAGTGAATTAAGACAAAGACAAATACGATATGCTTTCATTTATATGTAGAATCTAAAAACCAAAACAGACAAGCAAATAACAGAAACAAACTCATAAATACAGAGAGTAAAGCTACTGCCAGAGGGGGCAGAGGGGGTTGCCAGAGGGGGCGGGGCAAACAGGGGAAGGGAACTAAGAGGTATAATCTCCCACTTATAAAATAAGTAAGTAAAAAAACCAAAAACAAGGTTACAGCAATGAAAAGTACAGCAGCGGGAATGTAGTCAATGATACTGCAGGAGCCCAGTCTGGTGGCAGAGGTGGCCACACCCAGCGGGAGCGCTTTGTGGCCCAGAGAACTGTCACTTCACTGTGCTGTACCCCATAAATTAGTATAACTGAATTACTATTCAATGGCTTTTTTAAAAAAGGATGCCTGCCGTACAGCATTCCCTTAGGAGGATAGATCACAATTCGCCACTTGGACTGTTTGGGTTTGCTTCCTTTATCAACAGTGCTACAAAGTATACCCTTATTTATGTCCACAAGTGAGAATTCTTACACACAACACTCTCGTTCACATCTAGTGTACCCCCCAGGCGCCTACCTACAAACACAGAGCACAAGTTACGGACCGTACAAAGATAATGCCTCGGGCTTTCCGAGACAGCCCGCCCTGCACACCCACCCGCAGTGGGTCTGTTCCCGCTGTGGAATAATGCAGTCAGATCGCTCACTTTTTATCAACCAAGTGGGTATGAAATAGTGTCACGCTGAGTTCTCAATCTGGATCTTTCTTTCACGTAGTTACTGGACACACGTTTCCTCTTTGAAATGTGTCTACACGTGTCTTTTGCCAATTTTTCTATCAGGAACCTTCTGCCTATTTACAGTAGTTCTTTTAAGATTCTGGATACCAAACCATTGCCGATTTTATATGAGGCATTTTTTTTCCTTTTGGAGTGTTTTGATGAGAAATTTTAACCAAGATGAACATATCAATCATTTTCTTAATGAGTAATGTTTCTGGTATAAGAAACCCTGAGTCAGAAACAGATACTATTATTTTGAGTTTAAAAGTTACTCTACATCCAGCCAAGATGGTAGTAATCAGGGCCCAATTTATCTTCATATCTGCAAAAACAGAAGAGTTAACGAAACATAGAACACGTGGGAAAATGGTTTCTAAGACATGAAACACGAAACAACGAACGAACAAGGCCCAGACCCGACAGGACACAGGCCGTCCCCTTCCAGCCCGAGTGTCGGCAGAACCTGCACGGCAGAGTAAACACCGGGAGTGCAAGCAAGCGGAAGCCAGTGCCTGGCATCCGGAGATCGCCAGGTACACAGAGGCAGAAGACACCCACGCTGACAACAGTCCACTAAAACTGGCTCAGAGGTCAGAATTAGCCGAGAAAGATATTATCAATTCTAACTATGTTCCGTGTCAAAGTTACACAAAGGCCTGACATGGGGAGACTTATGAGACCCAACTCTAACTTTCAGAGATGAGAACTACAGAGATTAGACAGTGTAGAAGAAAAGATGAGCAACTCCAGCCACCGCAATAGAAACTACTGAAAAAGCAGCAAGAGTTTCAGCGAGCTCTGGGACAGCTTTGAGCCGCCGGATAACCTGTGCCACGCAGCCCCCAGGAGGGGGGGAGGAAGGGGCAGACATGATGCTGGAAGCAGCAGCTGGATAAAGACGACAAACCCACAGACATAAGCTCGGCAAACCCCACGCGCAGGAGCCACAACGAACACCGCACAGACGTCCACACCTGCAGACCAAATCGCTCACAACTAGCAATAAAGAGAACATCTTGAAAGCAGCCAGGGAAAAAAACCACATAACATAAACCAGCCAAAGACCAAGATCACTGTACACTCACTTCTCCTCAGAAACGGTACGTGTAAAAAGCACGGGGGGGGGAGGGGGGGAAGCATCTTTCAAGTACCGAGGGAAAAGCCCCAGGAAGCCGAGTAGTGAGGAGGCTTCCAGCTCTATAAAAAAGGTGAAGAAGAACCCATCAGCAGCAGACCCGCCCCTGCTACGTGTGGGAAAGGCCACCCTGTAGGCAGAAGGCAGACGAAGTGTGGGTCCCTACAAAGGGCTGAGAGGCACTGGAAATAACATAAGTTCGTGTGTAAGATTTTTTAAAAATTACTTAAATCTCTTTAAAAGGACCATTCAAACAAAAATAACAATGCAGCGTGGGGTTTATGACATGCGAACATAAGGGCAGGTGGACAGGACCACGCAGGCTGGCAGTGAGCAAATGGAAGCGAACGGTCACAGGCAAATGGCCTTTACACACACACAGCTTGTAGGAAGCACAGCGCACGACATCAACTTCAGACCAAAGGGCGCATAAGAGCTGGGTCCGCAGGGGACACAGCAGGCTGCCAGGAAGCGCGTTTCCAGGGGTACACACGTCGTATCATCAGGAGAAAGGTATCAGCTTATCAGGAGAGGGTAACAGCTCCACTCGCTCACGCAGCTAACAGCACAGCTTCAAAACACATGAAGCAGGGGCGCCTGGGTGGCTCAGTCGGTTAAATGTCCAACTTCGCCTCAGGTCACGATCTTACAGTTCGTGGGTTTGAGCTCCGTGTCGGGCTCTGTGAGGACATCTCAGAGCCTGGAGCCTGCTTCGGGTTCTGTGTGTGTCTCTCTCTCACAAATAAATAAAAAACATTTAAAAAAATTCAAAGCACATGAAGCAAAGCCGCAAGGAGATTGACAAACCCACAGCTTGACTATATCCTCAACAGGCCCTCGGGCAGCAGAGCAGTGTCGTCAAGTGCACACGGGGCAGTTACCAAGGCAGACCCAATGCTGGACATAAAACAGGCCTAGAGTTAAAAGGATTCAAGTCGTGCAAAGTATGCTCTCAGACGACAATGAAATTCAGTCAGAAATAAAAGAGAGCTCTCTGGAAAACCCCAATTATTTGGAAACTACATAATATACTTCAAAATAACCCATGGATCAAGGGAGAAATCAGACAGCATTTTGCACTAACTGAAAACCCAACATATCAGGATTTACGAGATGCGCTCCAATAGTACTTGGGGACATTTATAGCAACTAAACACCTATATTAAAAAAAGACAGATCAGTGATCTCAGAAAATAGAAGATTAAACCCAAAATAAGCAGAAGACATAAAAATGATCAAGCAGTAATCAATGAAATAGAATAAAGAGAATAACTACTGAAACCAAAAGCTGGTTCTCTGAGAAGATTTTTGATAAACCTCTACTCAGACTGATCAGGGAAAAATAGAAAAGGCACAGATTACCGTATCAACAAGAGGCCTCTACGTACACAAGAAGGCTAACAGAGAAATATTATAAACAGCTTCACGCCAGTCAATTCAGGAACTCAGATGACAGAGGACCCAGGTAAACCGCAGGATGCGGACCATCAAAGCCCTGGGTACCACTGGTGGGAGCGAAACACAACAGCCACGGGAAAGCAGCTGGCGGTTTACCCAAAAGGAAAGGCACTCGGCTACTTTGGATTCGGCCATTCCCCTCCTGGACAGTCACCCCTGGGAGGAGGGGTAAACGCCCCCCGAGAACCCACACAATGTTTGCAGGTTTCTGGAATGCCGGCACCCGGAAGCAACCTGTGAACAGGGAAGGGATTGAGAAACTGGCGCACCCACCCCGGGGACACTGCCTGAACAGCACTGTGGGAAGGCGGGGGCAGAGTTCACACATGCCACTCAAGGACGCACCAGGACGCACCGTGTCACGTCTTGCGCTCCTAGAGAACCGCGCCCTGGGCCCCGCCGTCTCAGGATTCCAACTGCCCTGGCTGCGTACAC